AAAAAAAAAAAAGAAAAAATTTTGTGATATTAAAATGATAAATGAATTATATTTGTAAAAAACATAATTCAGTGAATAGTAATTGCCAGTCGTATAACTATAAAGTCTGACTTTTCTTTTTTATTTGCTGTTATTGCTGCTGTTGTTGGAATTGTTGTTTTTTCTTCCTGCTTTGATTGATATATTCAGCTGTTATGCTGTGGGTATAAATGTCTGAAAGCATAAAATAGAACAGCAGAGAAGAGATAAGATGTGAAAAAAATAGCAAAAAAAACTGCTCGAAATTATACTCAGTTACTGTTTTTTCTTTTAAATTTTTATAAGGTTTCATAGTTGCTCTGAGGAAATAACTTTGAGAGAAAAAAAAACAGAAAAGTCTCGCTTAGAAACAAAAAAAAAAATCATTTGAACTATTCGGCTTCATTCAGTTTCTAATATATTAAAAGTTGAACAGCACAGATGGCAGAAAACGAGTATTCGGCAATTGTGAAGTTGCTGTTAGTAGCTAAGAAATTCCAAAACTTTCCCAACTGTCTACTGGATAGGAGGGAGGGAGGATAAGTGGGAAAAGGTGAAAAGGAATCAGGTAGAAAACGAGTTGCAAAAGTAACTGTTTCTTCTTTTGATTCTCAGACGTCTAATTATCAATGCATTCAAAGAGATGTATAGTCTTTGCGGTTCAAACTAAAATCGATGGTCTTTTTCCGTCTCTTATATTTATCCTAACTTTTTGGCCCTTTTCTTTTGACATTTTTTTCTGCTTTTTTTTGGGGTTTTTGATATTTGCAAAATCGAATTTTTTAGCATAAAGAGGTCGAACATAAGTTGTGGTTTAGCCAAAACAAATTGATTTTAATTTCACATTTAATTTTTTGTTTGTTTATTTACTTCGTTTTGTTGTCGAAAACAACTTTTTCTTCTACTACTATGATCAAAAATACAACCATCGTAATAGCATCGCAACAAGAGCCTATTTCTTGCTTCGTCAGGTTTCGTAAGGCCAAAATTATTGGCATGTCTGCCACCATCAGCAGCGGTATTAGCATCAGCAACAGCAGCAACAACGGCAACAGCAGCGGCTCCACACATATTCTTTTTACCATCATTATATATAGGAAGATTCTTTTTCTATTCAGTGTTTCCATATGCGCCGATGCAAAATCTGTTGGAACAACAAATAATCTCCAGAATGTGACGGCAAAAGAAATTTTCCTTGTTTTCTTTTTTTTTTTTTTTTTT